TTTGTAGTTAGCAGGGTGGTTTTGAGAGCAGAGGGCACAATTTGTAGGCGATTCACGTGAGTTGAGGCACAGGGATGAGAGGTGATCCAAGCCGCAGCGGACACAGCGTGGTTGATAGCCACAATATGCTTTTGTATGGCCGTATTGTTGACAATTATGACATTGACTTATTGATTTTGGTTTGAAAGGTTCTTCAATTTTGATTTTAGTGTGTAGAAGAGAAGACAGATGAAAAATTTTGGAAGAATTGGACGTGGGTTCTAAGTCAACAAAAAATAGCGGGAGAGGGTTTTTGTTAACCTTATGGAGGACGTTAATTACTTGTCTGACTTCGAAAGTAAGGAGTTCTAACTCTTCTTTTATAGTTTCAGTTGGTGTGGAAGGATGTAAGTTCCGTATGACTATCCTCAAAGGTTTATCCTCTTTGAGTTGATAAGTATGAAATTGCGCTTTCTCCTCTTTAAGATAACGAACTAGAGTTCTATATGAATCAGGGTTTGGAGTTTGGATTTTTAATTTGTCGGCAGAATGATTAGTAGAATTTATAATGTAAGACGTAAGTTGTAAACATGTTTTTATAAAAGCACAGTCGCGGTATCGAAATATTACCAGGGATTTACCCAAAATAGATTTTAACCTCTATCATTGATTAAATATACATAGATAGCCCATTATTAGCCCATTATATAGCCCTTATTAAGTCTATCAAAGTCTAATAAATCAATTTATCGTGATCTTTCATATTTGTATACATTAAATATTATTTTTTTACTACGTTAATTACACGTTAACGTTTTCTTTACTACGACATACTTTAAAGATGGAAGTATATACTGAAATCCGTGCATTAATTATTCAACTAATAGAAGAAGGACAATCTTTTCGAAAAATTGCTAAAATTGTAAATAAATAACCCTCGACGGTTCAATATATTATCAACCGACAAAAAGAAATTAAAACATTGAGCAATAGGCCTCGGTCAGGTCATCCTAAAAAATTAGACTAACGGCCGACAATTCTAAGAACAGTTGTAGAAAATTCCAAGATAAATACACCAAAACTGGTGAATATGATTAAAAAAGACTTTGGTGTAAATGTAGTACCACAAACAGTGAGTGTTTTGAAGAGATTTGGATATAATGGGTGTACTCCTAGGCAGAAACCATTTAAAAGTGCTGTTAACAATAGGAAACGTCTATATTTTTCAAAAGCTCATATTGATAAGCCTATAAGTTTCTGGAACTCAGTAATTTTTTCCGATGAATTAAAATTTAATGTATTTTCATCCGATAGTAGAGGAAAAATATGAAGAAAACCAAATGAATAATTAAAAACACAGAACTTATGCGCAACTATTAAACACTGCGGTGGTAATGTGAGGGGGGTGTATGAGTGCATCAGGAGTAGAAAATTTAGTGTTTATAGATGGTATAATGGATCAATACATTTATTTAGATATTTTAAGAAATAATTTAAAATGTAGTGTGGACAAATTAAGTTTGGGAAGTTCATTTATCTTTCAACAAGATAATGATCCAAAACACACGGCAAAACGTGTTAAAGAATGGTTGATATATAATGTTTCTAAACAACTTCATACACCACCACAATCACCTGATATGAACCCTATCGAACATCTATGGGATGAAATAGGAAGAAAAATTAGAATACATAATGTTTTAAATAAGCAGCAGTAAAAAAATGCAATTTTAACCGAATGGAATGCAATTGATCCGGAAATCACTAAAAAATTAGTAAATAGTATGAAGAATCGTTTGATCGATGTTATTAAAGCAAGAAGTGGGTCAACACATTATTAATTAAAGAATAAAAACTAACCTAATCAATAAATTTACTAAATTAATAAATTATATTATGAGTGTATGGAAACTTTTTGGAGTATTTTTTATTCAAATATTTCTAATTTGTAATTTATTAAAATCATATGTTAATTAAAAAATAGTTTATATTATTGAAATATAAAATATGCATGCTAAATTAATTTGTGGTACGGTTACTAACCCCTAATATTTTGGACTTTTTAAAATATTTACAAATACTTTTTTTGAAAAGAGATGTATGGGAACTTTTTTGACTGAATGTAGATACACTACCTCTATTGGCGATAAACAACTTATTAATGTTTTGGTCGGCGAAGGGTAGATGTGTTACATGCGACTGGAAAACATAACATTATTATTATAATAATAGCATTATTATTATAAATAATGCATAACGTGCACTTTACAGATTATCACCTTCTATCGCCAATAGTCTAATTATTTCTAAATAATCATTATAAATTTTTATTTTTCAAAAATAACTTTTGAAGAATCGTACAAATATTTGGTTTTCGAACTATCTTGGCCAGTAAGTCTGGTTTGACAAATATTTTCAAATTCGATTTTCGAATAATAAAAGATGCTTGATAGTTCGGTTCAATTTTTTTTCATACCGAGTTCGAATCTCGAACCGAACCGAACATTAAGGATTCGGTTCGGTTCGGTTCGACCCATCACTAGTCAATATGTAAATTCATGTAACAAATTACCATAAATAAGTTATATTTTGTGAACAAATAACTATGATCATTGATTTTATTAAACAAATGCTGTATTTTTTAACAAATAATAACCTTAGTGCAATATTCTTGTTTTTATGTATATCAATATTGTTTAATAATTGTCTAGCGATTCTCATAGTGATATATTATTCATGGTTACTGGTAGAGGTTGTACATTTATTGTAAAATCATAAACTCTTAATTTTTACATTTAACTTAATAACTGTAGTGTCCTATATGTATGCTGTATCCTGCATTATTTTAATAAAATAGAGATAGCGATCAGGAAGACATTGATATACAATGCGTTTCTCAGATATAAATATGCTTGGTAGAATATTCAACAGCTGTAATTTATGGGTGTCGGTAAAAATGACCATATCAAAAATGTTCACAGAAAAAATGTCCAAGTAACAAAATGTCAAAGAACCTACCAAAATATAAATTACATTAAATTACCTAATTCAAATTAAATTTTATAATTACAATGGCTTATAAAAATTAAGTTGCTTATTATTTCATAATTGAGAGGTCCAAAATAACAACCAGACAACTCCATTTTTGGGCAAAACCGTTTTATTTACTTATATTATGAGGAAAAAAACTATACACAAATGGATGCAACAAACTTACTACTTCGTACCCGAATTATTGATATAAATGGATTTGACTGTTTTTGAATTGAGTGCAACAAACAGATAATTCCAGAATTTTCTGGTTATTGCACATAATATGTGTCCTTATACTATTAAGTTCTTATACTAACATAATCATATTTTACTTGCAAATTATTTACATTTTATTAAATTAATTTTAAAAATTAATTATCAGCATAACCGTTTTTACTTTCTATTTTAACATTGATTTTTGTATATGCGGACACATTTTTGGTACTTGGATATTTTTGTATATTAACATTTTTACGTAGACTTATAATTTATACATGTATATGCTAAAACTGAATAAATTAGTAAAAACTATTGCTATAGAAATGTACTGAAAATAAATATTGGTTGAGATTTTCTAAAATTAGGACTCTTCTATAGTGATGATAACAGAATTAGATTTAGTGCACAAATTGCCTTAAGTTTGTAAGAAAAGTTTAGTGTAATATGTAGTTGCATGTTTTATATTTTATTAAATATAACTATTAACTAAGGATTCTTAAGTACATTTAAAATAAAAACTAATGTTTGAAAATATTTGAATCATAAAATATTGTAAAAATTTGATTAATTCCCTGACCATTTATGTAAATAAATTACTCAACAATATTATTACTGTAGAACTATTAATGAATTATTAAACACCACATTTAACTTAATTAAATTAACAAGTGCGGTAACTGCAGAAGTGTTAAGTAATTGGAAGAAAAAGTTACTCTAGTAAATCTAAAAAAATTTTAATTGGTTACCTATCATTGTATTGTGTTAGCTTCAATGATTAATTATTTTTACAATGATATATTAGTCAGCCTAAATCACATATTACTACACATTTACTATTCAACAATATGCGGACATGATATACAATTTTCGAACACTGATCTTGTGTAGGAACATTTTCAGATTACCAATAATGTGCAATTTGTGGTGCCCTCATATTGTTTACAGTCAATAAATAAATCAGACATTGTCATATAATTACAACTTTGAAATCTCTTAAACAGAGTTTAAATCCAAAAAGTATAATTATTAATTATAAAAAAGCTGTTTTTTATGATATTGAATTTCTTTATATTCAAGTAAAGGGTTGTTTCTTTAACATTTTACATTGTGTACAAAATTGAGTAAAAAAAAAGACTTCAAGAAAATATTAACAATGTTCTGAATTTTCATTACAAATTCGTATGTCATCAGCTTTAGTTACTAGGTTATGTATGTTACCAGCTTAACTTTACATCTGTACAAAACTTCTTAATGATTGGAATTCATGAGGTTGAATACAAATTTCCAAATATGCTTTAAGGATATAGATAAAAATAAATACTTAGTATTTTAATCGCACAGGTACAGATGAATTCAAAAAGTAATTAAGCGTAGTATTGACAAAAACAATTTCATTATTTGTATTAAATGCTACTAAAAAACTGGAAGTCTTCACTCTAGTAAAAATTAATAATTTTATAGCAGCATTACTCTTGAATTTCTTTCATTAAAATTATTTTGTAATTAATTTGCTGATAAAATTACTATGATTAACATTATATAAGTCTTGATTTTTAAACAAAAAATAAATAATAAATCAGATGGTTTGAAGAACATTTTTATTATCACCAAAAAAAAGTACAATGTCTATTTAAGTCATTATACATTTTCATTAGAAGATAGTAACAAACAATTATTAGCCATATATGACATTATTATTATTGGTAAGATGGCACAAAAAAAGTGTGTTTAACACTTAAAAGTTGTAAATAAAATATTTCAATTATTGTTCATAATAATAATAATAATAGTAATAATAATAAGAGCCACTTAAAATTAGTTGAATAAACAATAAATATCACTCGACACTGTACCGATATGTTGATTAATAATAAAAATAGTTTAGGCGGGTAAGAGATCGAAATCATCACTGACTAGAACCATTGGCACATGCTCTTCATCAATATTAGGCTCAGAGCTGTAAGTGCACAATTGTAATTCCTTCAATTTCCATCCCCAATCCATTTTCTGTACAGCGTGCAGACTTTCTGCCTCATTGTGATGTCTCAATAACATGGACTCCTTCAGGAATAATAATATATTAAAATATTATTATTTGATAACTAAAATTTAGTATATTCTCACCTTAATTTTTTCCCATTTATCATCAACGTCTTGTAACCATGATAAAAATAAACGACCATTATAACGGGATCGTGCATGTCTATCTTTCTCTTCCTCCTGTTCAGGTGTCATAATATTATACACTTCTTCATCTTTGAGTATAGTGCATACAGAAAATGGTAATAGTTGATTTGCTAATGCACGAGCTGCACGACCATGAACCCTGAGTATTTCTTGTTCAACGCTTAACACTAGTTTTTCTTTTTCTACAATGTGCTGAAAAATCATTAAATTATGTTAGTATAATGGCACTTTTATCAAAAACATTGAAAAACAAACCTGTACACGAAGTCTTTGTCTCTCTTTCTCTTGTTCAACAAACAATTTTTTCAACTGTTCATGCAAATTGGCTGGTGATGGTGTCTGAGTGTTTACTACTCGACTATTAGAGTTGCCAGCCAAAACATATGTGCATCGATTCATGAGGTAGTCTTTAAATCCAGATGGAGGTTTGGGTTGCACAGGAAATAAATTCTTCCGTCTTTTATCAATCTGCCAGTCAAAAGATTAATAAGTCAAAAATAAATACAATTAATATTATAAAATATAACTCATTTACTTGTTTTCTTATATTTAAAAACATTTGATAGCAATTGGTAACTGGAACTGGTTCATTGGTTGTACCGGACGGATTAGTTTCTACAGCAGTAACATTGGCAACAGATGAAGTATCACTAGTTTCGGATTCAGTACGACTAGCTTTTAATTTACGACGTCTAGGATGTAATTCCAAGGCAGACATATCAGCAGTAGCAGTCGACTCAGATGTAGTAGCTGTAGCTGCAGCTGTGCTAGCTGCCTGTTTGTCATCTCCAGTTACAGTCACCGATACATTTTCAGTTTGTTCTGAACGAGTTGATGGCGATGGATTTGAACCTGTATCTACTACCACAGTAGGTGGAGAAGTAGTTGGTGCCAATTGTTCTTCGGGAACAATTGGTGAAGTACCACGACTTGGTGCACCACTACTGTTACTACCACATCTGTTGGATGACCGCAATACTCTAGTTTGAGGAGACTTTTGCTCTTCAACAGTAAGAGTATCAGAGCTAGCTTTTTGTGGAGACTTTGGTGAGTTTGGCTGATTAGACGCTGGTGGAGACTCTTCAGAAGGTACAACATATGGTAATGCTGTATGGTGATGTGACCGGTTACCATTTTTGCCATTTGTCCTAGTCCCTGTATCGGCATCTGTTGTAGGTATAACAATTTTTAATGGAGGTACTTTAGGACCACTTCCAGGACTATCAGCATTAGATGGTCCAGAGCCTCCTGATTTATCTTCATCACTATCAGGTTTTGGACTAGAAGATTCAGTTTTACCTGAAAAAAAAACAAAATAATAGATTATAATTTTATTTTTATTTGTATAATTTAATAAAATAGGGATTAAAGTGATAATTTTAGCTTTATTTTATCTATTGGTGCCATAAGAACCAAGTTTAATTAATTAAAGAAAAATAATTAAAATTATACAGCATAGACTAAAAACAAGTTAAAAATCAAATTAAGATCATTATTTTTTAAATATAATTATAAATTAGTAAATACCTTAAATGATAAAATAAGGTACAGAATCTGGGATAAAAACTTCATTTACCTGCCTTAGGGATTGCCCTAACTTCTTGTATAAATCCAAAAATATAATTACGGTTTTAAAATACAGTATAACACTATTTTTAAGCCAAATAGCAAATTTATACAGTAGAATAAATAGTAGTTATATACCAAATAAAAAATTTTAACTTTTTATTCATAAAACTGCAAAATATTTCAATAAAATCATAAAAATATTATTTCAATTGATGAATATAAGTGTTACAAATCAGGTGTTTAACTTGTAACATGAGTATAAAATTTAAATAAAATAGAATTATAATATTATCTCAACTTAAACATGTGAAACAAAATAAAAATAATTAATAGAAGAGGAAATTTTACATTTTTCCTATGAGAATAATACAATTTAGAAAAAATTTGAAAAACCTAACAATATTGGTTTTAAATTTCAAATGGTATGAGTCATGAATAAATATTTAAATAAATAGGGACCTGTATGCTGTTGTAAAATCTAAATATAAGCAGTGGCAGTTTTTAGAATTTTTTTCTAGTAGAGTCCTTTGATATTATCTTATAATATATTAAAACATAAATATTCAATTAAAAAATCAAATTTCTATAAAAAAAATTATTGTACAAAATTAGAATTAGAAAATATTGTTAAGATACTTTAAAAAAAACATGAAAAGTATACTCATTTATCATTTATAATCTATTTAGATTAATTATATAAACTATCAAAATATTAATTAATTAATTGCAGTATATTATAAATTAATAAATCACCTTTAGAACTTTGACTATGCTCTTCTTTACGTTTTTTTGGTTTAACTTCTTCTTCTTCTTCTGCTAATGGACGTTTTAAGTTATCTGTATCTTTCGCTCCTTTTACATTTAACTCATTTGATGAATTATTTGTGGTATCAATTGCATCCCCAGAACCAGCATCTTTGACTTCAGCTTCTTTAGAAGAACTAGTAGAAGTACTTTCAGCTGGTGCACTGGTCGATGCATTAGTAGACTGAGAAACAGACTGAGAGGGTGTTTCTGATTTCTCTTCAGCCTCAACAGTTTTTCTATAATAAAAATTAATAAAAAAACATAATGACAAATGTGACAATGTTTTATTTAATAATGTACAGCACTTACGTATCGTTCGTCATGCTTGTGTTTTGTTCCTCAGCTATTTTCTTATTCTTCTCATCTAGTCGAGCAGACGAACTCTTAAACTGGTTGTTACCCGTGTTGGTAAGTCTTAATGTCACTCTTGGAGATGCATGTTGTTGCTGTTTATCACTGTTCGCAGCAGCTACAAGATAATAAATATAAATATATTTTAATAATAATATGAAAAGAAAACAAAGAAAAAATAAGCAACTAATATGGCATAATATGTTTACGTACACCTTATGTTCTTTTAAAAAATATTTAATCAAGTTAATACCAAAGAAGTAAATACTATTAGTTAATGAATCAAACAATAATTTGATAAAAACTAAGACAAATGATAAGAGACGTTTGACATCAGTTTCATTTACAGTACCAATCACATTTAGCAGTATATTTTCTTTTCAAATTCGATTAGAAAAAAAAACTCTAACAACAATATTATTTGTTAATAATTTCTACAAGGTAATATTATTCGAAATCAATTATTAATAATCAGACATCCTTAGACGAACAAAATATTACTACTTAAATATTCTCGACCAAAAACCGCAGCACCCAATACTCAATATTTTATTGTAAAAAAAAAAAAAAAATAACAATAATTAGCGCTAGAATCTATAAGAAATCGTGATATTATGTACTGTTAATATTAAATTATTATTATTATTATGCCAGCGTGTCGACTTTCGAACTAGGGATGCCAATATATTTAAATGGAAAAATGAACATCGATCAGTCTCAGAATTGAAGATTGGATCGTGTTTGTGGTCTTTGTACTGTTACCGACCAAGTGATAGAGAATGCAGAGAAAAGTAGGTCGACCAGAAAACTTGTACCAGATAAACGACAACGCAGGAAATCATCAGATAGAGCTGTTAAATTTTTATCAATACTTGATTCGAGGAATGGGGGTGGTTTTTGAGGCAAAATAAATGAGGACATAAGATCTGCCACTTCTTCCGGACAGAAACGAAAATTATGAACGATAATATGGGCAGTTAAAAGTGAATACACAACATCTATTGAAAGTAATGATGATTATAAAATATTTAATACTTGACTGTGAATTGCACAGAGTATATAATTTGAAATAAATATTTACGAGTGTTATATTATAAAACGACAAAATCAGTATTACGTTAAGATTCTGTGAAAAAAATGGTTTAAATACCACCTAATTAATAAATAATGTCACTAGATTTTACAATCGAACTGTATAAAAAAACTATTTGGCAGTCGAAAACAACTATATAACAATAGTGATAAGAAAAAAAAATATTATTTATCGATTGAACGAGAAGGAACAACACGAAAAAATACATTAATAATTTACGAATGATTAACGAACAACTTTTGTAACACGGGCGCTTTGACGATAACATGGAAAATAAAAAAAAAATAGTTATAGTTTTTTATTCGTCATTAGATAACGGTACGGAAAAAAAGTTGTTAATCGGGAAAAAATGAATCGATAAAAAGAACGTTTTCAACAATCACGATTGACGTGAGACCCGTTAGCGGGTTCAAGGAATAATTTCGCAATTTTACCGCATATTAATTGCTAAATACGTGATTTACATGACGACGGCCGATGACCTTACATTGGCTCGGTCGAACACCGGTGACGAATCTTGTCGCGTGTTTGACAACGAAATTGAAATAATTCGAACGTACATCGAAGGTTTACAATGAAAATCAGTAACGTCGAGAACGATTTAGCATCATGGGCACGAAGAACCGTTTCCAAACGAAGTTCTTAACTACTGAAATTAAACTAAACTAATAATAAAAAAAAAACAACAACGCATTAGTGAATTTCGAGCAGAGCAAAGAATGTTTTGTTTTTTTTTTTCGTACCAAATGTATCAAACAACAACAATAATAATAATAATAATAAAAGTAATTATAATAAGCTATTAGCTGGCTCTACTCGTCGTATACCTGCAGTTCGTTTTCCTTTAATTTTGTTCGTCCTACACTTAAAGAGATTATCAGACATATCGGTGGTGGTGGTAGAGGTGAACATACGAAAATACTGAAGTAAAATCGATTGCCATTCGAAAGGTAATAAAATATTGTATGTATTTATGGTATGAAGAAACGCAGAAAAAGGTTACCATCGCCGTCGGTGGAAGACGGGTTCGGCCGGAAGATGGAAGGGACGAAGGGTCGATCGCACCCTTGGTGAGGAAGGGTCGGAGGGAATGGAACAGCCGCGTGCACAATAAACACATATAACATGTATATTGCATTACGTACGCACATACAAAGGTGGTTGGTCCGGACGGCGGCGAGGAAATGTGACAACGTCGCGATGACGAATCGAAATATTTTGCCCCCCCCCCTCCGCGAGGGTTGAAACAGTCACTACCACCGCTCCTCCCCGTCTGTTACACGCACAAACAGCTCTTTATACGCACACGTGTATGGACCCATAGCGCGGGCGACACCGTTTTCGGAACAATCGCACGCACTGTCATGACATCAGACGCGAACATTACCGGCGACCAAAAAATGAACAGAAGAACGATAGTCACATAAACAGCGAAGACGACGGAGAGAAAAAACTTGTTGTTACGTTCGTTTTCTCTGACCTCGTGCACGCAGGCGACGACGACGGCGGCGGCGGCGGCGGCGGATGGTGCAGGTACCGCGCGCGGGCTCTTCCGCTAGCGACGGCGTCGGAAAACCTCCGGGAAACCGTTTGGATCGCCGAGTGAGCGACGACCGACGGACCGACCCACACACCCGGCGGACGAAGGAGACCGGTCCGGATAAGAACACGACGGCTAACCCGGCGAGAACAACACGCGCGTCTTGCAGCGCACACGTTCGTCGACACTGCAGCACACACAGGTCCGTTCGCTCGGGCACCGCACGCGACCGGCAACTACGTGGTGCGTTTGTGACGGCGTTCAAGGTCGTCGGCCGCGGTGGCGGTAACTGCGGAGAGAGAGAGAGAGAGCCGGTGGTATGTACACCACACGTCGTATGCCCACTACACAACACAACACAGTCTTCCGCGAAGAAAACGTCGCAATAGTACGCCGCCGTCGTCTTGCATCGCGCAGCACAGCCCCACTCGGCTCACCGTTCCCGGAGTGCATCATGACCTTCAGTGGCGGTGGTCCGGCCGGTCAGTTAGGAGGGGTGAGGACCACCGGAGTACATCCTTGAGGGGGGGGACAACCCTTTCGCCCAGCGGCCGTGAAAAACGTTTTCCGGAGCAAAAGTTTTGTGCCCCTCCCCAACACGTAACGTCGACGAATGTCCTTCGCAGTCCGTCCAGGCGAAGCGCCAGATCGATTTCAAAGTTTTCGAGACTTTTCACCTTCACTCTCCGTCACCCCCAAACGTACACGTCCGAAATGCTATCGGTTTTTACCGGCACGGACGGGGACCATATTTTCCAACACTTTCTACGATTTCGTAATCATATCATCCAACAAACTTTTACTTAGAATAATGATGATGCACGCACGTTTTTTCACTGCTCCCAGTAATGTACATAGCATATTATTAATAAAATCCCTCAGATGATCAGTCGCGGGAAAAATTCTTGGATATTTGCTTTTCTTGCGTACAGGATGTACCCGTGTGTGAAGGTCGATTCCGACCAAGTGCGATCATTGGATGCGTTCTAGATGATAGCCAAGCGATATTTGCGTACATTATATTCGTGTATTATTAAGTGTACAGTTGAAATCAATGCGAATGAGCTAATATTATATATTCATGTGCATTTGTTTAACAACGGTAATAACTCGAGTTTTTTCACGTAATCAACATAATTTTAGGTTATCGTACAATAAAATTTCAAGTCTTCACACATACTTTTGACAACTTATTTTATCAAAAAAAATACGAAATATAGTATTAATTGTTTTTGATAATATTTATACTTTTTAAAACTTCTAAGAAAAAAATATCTTAAATAACTGTCCAATTGCCGATTTAATATGATACAGAATCTAATTTTTAGGGCAATTACCAATTATATACCAAATTTTAATCGAAAAAATAATTGTAAAATAATTATGTACGTTTGAAAGTGTTGGTTTTTAAAAAAGTAAAAATATTATCACGAAAAATTGATCACGGCTTTTGCTTTTGATTACCATTGAATTATTTTTAATAGTTTCAATCCGTTTGGTATATAAAACGTATGATTTAAATAGACACAAACATATGCCTAATGACTTAAGAAAGTCAAAATATGTTAATACGTAGTTTAAAATATGGCTGAAGAAATAAAGTGCTTTCAAATTGTGTGAGGAGCGAGTCTTCTACAAGTTTGTAAATTAGTTATTTAAAATATCAATTGCGACAGAGCATGTAAATTAAAACATGAATTCTCTCTCCTGTAAAATATCACACGTAATTAGTACAATTATTGGAATACATAAGACATTTCATAGTAATCAATTTATTTTCATTACAATATACTTTCGAAACCTAACCTGTTCTACAAATCTAATTATTATTTTAAAGAATATATTTTATTACATAGGAACTTAGGGTTCTAAATATGATATTTCTTAACTTTTATTTTTTGGAAGGAAATGTTAATCGAACTCTTAAAGAAATGTGATACTAAAATGTCATTAGAGAGGAAATATGTTATCTGTATACACTCTATTAATTAGACAATAATTTATTTTTTGTCAATGACTTTCAATTCCAATAATTACTTTCGTAAAGATATAGAAATTTGATAGCATTTTTAGATAACAAGTTATTTATACGTCCACTTAAAACTGATATAATACTACAGCAGTTCAAAGATGATGATGGATAAGGTCATTTCTATATAAATTTTAATCAAATGAAGTAGACGAATGAAATGCAAATTTAAAAGCAATTATAAGAGACCTAAAAGCTTATATTTTTTTTAAAATACACTAAATAATTTTTTACAAATAGATTTTTTTTTTAGACAAATAATTATTAATAGAGTAATAATTGAGTAAATATAATACATAAAAACTTAGTTAATTTTATGTTGATATTTAAACTATAGATGTATATTTTTGCATTTACCCATTATGAAAATATTATTAACGCCAATATCTTTATAAGAATACTAGTATTTCCAAAAATAACACATATCCAACAAAATAAAGTGGTTAACTAATAAAAAAATAACATTTATTATAACTATATAATTCATAGAAATTAAGAAAACCGTACCCAAAATACATAATTATTATCAATCTAATAATAAAGTAAGTTCGTTTATTACTAAATAATATAAGAATTATGTTATATATATATACGAAAATAATTTAATCAAAATTATAAATATCATAATATGTTCATATTAATATATTTTGAAAACTATCGACAGAAGATCTATTAACGAAATCTAGTAAATAGTGATGAATTTCTTTGAAGTGTAGACATGAAGTTGTATATCAAGAATAGATTTTAAGTTGGTGATGCCAATAATATTACGCTACGAGAAATTACAACGGAATAGTACAGTGAAATAAGTGATCGGAAAAAATAAATAATTCCATAAAAAATATATCATTTAAACTTGCACATGAATCACGTACCTTAATGTTTACAAAAAAAATATATGTATATTAATGTTTTTCATTATTTATAAAAATATAAAATTTTACAAATAGGTTAAAAATAGAGGATATGTATAACAATCAACAAATTATTGAATAAGAAATTGTTAAAATGAAAATAAAATTGAACATAACTTATTTTATGATTCGCAAATAATGGGTCGTTACATGGAATTTATACTAACTAGTATGACGTTAGTCATGCACTAGATGCCTTTACGTTTCAATAAAAAACAACATATTATTTCCAATGATTCATAACTAACAGATTTCTCTTCGCAACATTTTTGCATAAGCATGACTCAACGTTTGGATAGTACGATTCCTTTTTTTCGTTTTTACATTTTAGAACAAACAATTGAGTAAATATAGAAACGGTAAAATAATTTTGGTTTGTTTACAAAAATACATTTCAAATTTAGAATGCATACTTATTTGAATAGAAAAAAAGAGAAGGATATATGATCAGTGTTATTATCATATATTTACTTTATAAAACATATAAAATAAAAATACATAAATATGTGTTAAACATAAACAGAAAAATAAAAATAAAAAATAATGTTTAAATATCTATTAATAACACGTATTATGTTGATTAAATAAACCGTAAATGGCTAAATCTTTTAACTTGTTACCATAGTATTCGCCCCCTCGAAACAAACAAATAATTTGAATTCAATAAAATATTCATTAATAAGAATGGCCCAATTGAAAACTATTTATGACGTAATAATTTATCTTCAGTACTTGGATGGTACCAATCATAATTAATTCAACAGTTTAGATAATTTTTTTTTATTGGAATACATTTAAACCTATTAGGAATTCTGAACGAGACGTATATAAAATTAAGGTGCTGAAAGAAGGGAATAGCTCTAGCACTACTTCAAAACCTGAAATCTAACGCTCTATCGTTAGTTATTAAATTATTGAAAAATATTTGTCTCTAGGGACTATTAAATGGTTTTGCTAGAAGGACAATGGAACATGTTTTAATAATCAAAAGTTAATTTAGAAAATGCTTAATTATTGATATACTTTTGATTTATAAAGTTATATAACAAGAAAACATTAAATTTTATCAAATTAATATTCGATAACAGTTTCAGTATTACTCGTATCTCAAATCATCTAATAATAACGAAATAACCTATAATTAGTTCATGATACATAGATGTTTTAAATAACTTGAGAATACATTGTTAAAAGTTAATAGACATAATAATACACGTAACATATATTTTAATAATCGGAACTACTGCTTTATATTTTTAAAATATATATTCATTGTAAGATTGAATAAAATATTAATGCAAAATAAAATGAATCAATAATAGGTTTTAGTATTTAGAAACGAAAGAGATAAAAAAAATTGGGTTACATTTTAATTATTTGTTAATGTTTGATTTTAAGTATAATTATTTCAATTTTCAAGTTGATACACAGACATAAATTATATAATAATTATAGAAAAAATAAAATTCAGTTAAACGTGATGCTGGGAAATCTTCTCTATTCAAAAATTCATATCATTTAGATGATTATCATCAATAGCATGTTAATAAAAATACACTAGAAGGATAAAAAATGTATTATCCGAAGTCGTTTTTTCAGAACTTATTATGATAATTATGTTGAATAACGTTTTCCAATAACTTGTAATTTGCATTTTTTAAACAGTTGTACTTGATTTGCATATTCATTTTATTAAAATCATAATATACTTTTATAAATTACTATAATACAACTATAGGGAACACATATATTAGCTGAAAATCGCAAAATTGTACAAGTTTATTTCCATTACGTTTTAAATCATGAAACCAAGTCTATAGAATACTAAAATACCACAATATTATCTTTATTATCTTTATCATATTAGTGCATTTTATAATATTCTATTTTAGTTATTTAACTATATAATTTAATTATTATTATAATTTATAATACATTATTTTATGTATTTATTTAATGTTAAATACAATTATTTACACGTGTAATTAGTCATTATTTATTTTTGTTATATCTACTTATATTGATTTAAGAATTAACCTGAGGTATAAGTTATCTTATCAATAAAATACAATGATATCAAACATTTTCAAGGAAGTACTTACATTTTTAATTTCAACATTTTGCCTTATGCAATTAGATCAATAAATGCAAAATAATTATATTGTAATAAATAATGTATATGAAACATTGCTTAAAATTTCATAAATTATAAAATTAATAATTTAAGGTTGACTATAGAAAATACATTAATTTGTGTTCATAAAATTAATTTTATGTTCGAAAATTCAGCGAGTCATGCGTTACACTCTGTATTAATCAAAAAATAAAAAATAAAATACTTGAAAATTGATTAATATTAATAATATTATATATAATATAATAATAATTGATTTATTGCTCTTATTTTCAGATTTCAAAACATTTAGAAGA